AGGGCCGGACTGGGGATTCCAAAGCAGCCCTGGAAAAAAAAATCTATGCCAGCCCCATAAGTCATTGCGCCATGTATTGTCGCATGTAATATGTAAGGCTATGTCTTGCCACCCTAGATGATTGAGATATATATATATATATATATATATATCTTTTTCCAATATAAAATATTGGTCCTTTCAGAGTAAATTTTTTAATTATACAGTAAGCATACTCACATGCAGACACAGACAATCTCACTGACACAAGCTGATTGATACACAGCCTCATAGACAAACAATCTCACTGATATACATAAGGTCATTGACATAAAAACACAAGCTCACTCAGTAGCAGGCACACACACACACACACACACACAAGCAAGCCCACTCACTAGCAGGCACGCACACACACAGCTTAATGTAGTGACTCTGGTGTCTATAGCCTGTCCCTGCAGGCTTTTCAATGTAAACACTGACTTTTTAGAGAAAAGGCAGTGTTTACATTGCTTCCTAGTGACAGACACTCAGACGGTCACTAGAGGTGCTTCCTGTGTCAGTGCGGATTGGCTGAGATCATCAAGCTTGATGATCTCAGCCATAGAGGCAGGGCCAGTCGAGGGGAGACCAGTACGACGTGGGGGAAAAAAAGGTGAGTAAAAACACACATACACACACATACCATGACAGACACACACCATGACACAGACAGACCCTGACACAGACACACACACACTGTGACACAGACAGAAACACAGACACACCATGACAGACAGACACACCATGACACAGACACACACACATACCATGACAGACACACACCTTAAAAAAGACACACACACACCATAACACAGACAGACCGTGACACAGACACACATTACATGACTTTTATGTATAAGACAGACACACACACACCACGACACAGAGAGACTGTGACACAGACACACACACACCGTGACACAGACAGACACATATTACATGACACAGACAGACACACACACCATGACATACAGACACACACACACCATGACACAAACAGACCGTGATACAGACAGACACACATTACATGACAGACACACACACAATGACACAGACACACATTGCATGACACAGACAGAGACACACACACACCATGACACAGACAGACACACATGATGACACATACACACATTGCATGACACAGACAGACACCCACACACACCATGACACAGACAGACACACACACACACCATGACACAGACAGACACACACAATGACACAGAAAACATTGCATGACACAGACAGACACACACACACCATGACACAGACACACACACACCATGACACAGATAGAGACACACACCATGACACAGACAGACACACCATGACAGACACACACACAAATGACACAGACACACACACATACACTCACACTGACACACATAATTGCTACCTGTGTGCTGGGGGCAGCATGGGGAGCTCTGATGGCGGCCGCATGGGGAGCTCTGATGCCGGCCGCTTGGGGGGAGCTGGATCTTCTGGTGGTAGCAGAGGGAGCTCTTTTGGCGGCCGCAGGGGGAGCTGGCTGTTCTGTCTCTCCTCCCCCGCCCCAGGGCGCCGCTTAATGAGACCAGGGCCGGAATATGACATCATATTCCGGCCCCGGTCTCTTTGTAGTGCGCTGGGGCGGGGGAGCAGAGACAGAACAGCCCGCTCCCCCTGCGGCCGCCAGAAGAGCCAGCTGCCTGCCCGGCCCCAGGTGCCAACGGCCCACTAGGAAATTTCCCGGTATCCCGGTGGGCCAGTCTGGCCCTGGTGAGGGGTACAATATGTGAGGGTACAGTGTGTGTGTGTGTGAAGGGTACAGTCTGTGAAGGGTACAGTGTGTGTCTGAGGGGTACAGTGTGTATGGGGTACAGTGTGTGTGTGTGTGTGTGATACAGTGTGTGTGTGAGGGGTACAATCTGTGAAGGGTACAGTGTGTGTGGTACAGTGTGTGTGTGTGAAGGGTACAGTGTGTGTGGGGGCAGTGTGTGAATGTGGAAGTTATTGTGCGTGGGTGTGGGGTGGGCAGATTAAAAAATATATATGTGTTTGTTTTTTTAATTAAAATAAATAATCTTTAGATCCCCCCTCCCTTCCTACCTTTGCCTGGGATTGGGGGATCTTTCTCAAGCCCTGATGGTCCGGTGGAGAATTCCTGGTGGTCCAAGTGGTCAGAGTGACCTCTAGTCTGCAGCTTCTGGGCTAGAGGACACTCTCGCGAGTCTGGAGCGTTGCCACTGTAACCGTGGCAGTGCTCCAAGCTCGCAAGTGGAGGACCCGGAGGAGCTGCAAGCTGAGCTCCGGGGTCCTCTCTCCCTCCCATGCCGGCTCCAGAAATGTGCCTGCGGACTGGTGAGGGAGATCTCTAATCTCCCCTTCCGGTCCGTGAAGGCACATAGCAGGTCCGGCGCTTGGACCTGCATTGGCTCTCGGGTAGCAATTGCTCAGTTGCCTCCTCTCCCCCCTCGGATCCGCCACTGTGGTCTAAGAAACATCTCTAGGAAATATAGTTTATTTTAATACTCACCCAATTAAAGGAACAATATAGATTTAGGAATACAAATATGTATTCATAATGCCATGGTGCCCGTTGTCACTATTTAGATGATTGGTCCAGCGCTGCCATGGTTAAATAAGGTAATTTACTTACTTACTTTCAGCCCATGCCGGTCTCCTCCTTGAAGCTGCGCCTCTTTGGCTGAACTCATCAATGTTGGTGATCTCAGCCAATCCAATGCTTTCCCATTAGAAAGCATTGGGAGGCTTGTGTGCATGCGCAGTAAAATGCCACATTATGTCAATCAATGGTCCTGAGATCATCTGATAAAACTAGCTGAGCTCTACTCTGCTATTTCACGGAAGTGCCTTGAGTGGCTGTAAAATTGACAGCCGCTAGAGGCAGGTTAAACCCCGCAATGTAAACTTTGCCATTCCTGCAGGGTGTCATAGGCAGAGCATATTGCACCAAGAGTATTTCAATGAGATGAAGTAGTCTGGGTGCCACTAGTGTTCCTTTAACGATAAGTAGGCGATGGGTGATAGAAGTGTCTCACATTTTTACAGTAAGGGCTGTTGTCTGCAATATTACCAGTTATTAAAGATTTAGAATTCTAAATTAAAAGCAAAACACTAAATGGACGGACGGTCTGATGACTTTCTCATGTTCTCACTAGAGCCCAAATATAAATGAATATCTAAAGCTAATGTAGAGGCTTTACAAAGATACAGATTTGGAATGTCCAATCCCTAATATAACATCGTAAAATGCACAGGAGTATTTGTATCCTGTTGGCCACATACATACCAAGACACATAAATATATATTTGGATTTGTGTAATAAAAGGTTGCTTTGTGGCAATCAGAAAGAATTATCACCAATAATAACCAATGATTGGCTACCCAGCCAGTCCAATAAACTATTAGATTTTTATTTAATAGGTTTATTTAATATATTTCCACGGACGTACGAAGGTAAATAGTCATCATGTAGAAGGATGTTTGTGTAGCTTTAAGGGACATTTTAAGCAAGAAAAAAAAACCTCCTACTGCGTCTTAATGTAGTGGTTTTGGTGCATAGCTGCTGCTCCTTTTGTCTGACAATGTAAAACATTGCCATTTCTGAGAAACAGCAATGTTTACATTTAGTAAAAAAAAAACACTGCTGTATCTGTAATACAGATTCAGTGGAGCATTCCCCTACAGCCTTCAAATTCCTTCTTTCAAAATTATTTTTATTTCCTTATATTTTAGGTAACATTTTTAACTTAAATAGTGCCGCACGCATAGCGCATGCATACACACTGTAAGAGAGAATTCCAAACGTAGAGGCACAAAGGAGGTGCACAAGGTTTTTCCTTACCTCCACTCCCCTCCTCCATTCAGCCCAGTAAACCTTATGTTTACTGGGATAAAGAAATTAGTAAATGTATAAATGTCCTGTGGCGAAACCGACCTCGCCACTGGGCATTGGAGAAGACTGATTGCCAGCCTCCTGCCATGTGACTATGGCCCCTGGGATGTATTGCCCTTTAAATACATGATTTGGGCATAATGGATTTGTGTTGTGCTGCTGCTGGCCCTTTAAGAACCATCTGGGGACATACTGTGGAGTTACTGGGTGGCCACCATTTCATGTATCAGAGGCACATGGTGAGAACAATGGATGAAGCACATGGTGAGAACAATGGATGGCGGCCATTTTAACTCACAGACACTGTTTGGACTTTTCTACACGGTGCCATCTCGCCGGTATTTGGTGCACAAAGACATTGTGCAGTAGTTTTAAACTATACAACAGGGGACACATTATACAGTAATTATTTTTCATATAGCCTGTATATGTTCTGCGGAATCTGCATTAAACTGTATCTTCCAAACTACTGAACGGATCTGGGTGAATTTTGGATATGTGGTTCACCCAGATCCCCCGGTTCCGAGGATATACTTTTTATGGGGTTATTGCATGTTTTGGGCTCCCTGTGATATGTTTTATAATACTGTATTTCTCTGCCTGTGATAATTATATTAACCATTGTGTTCAGTAATCATATCACAGGCAGAGGGGAGGATTTTGTGTGGGAGTGTCTGTGTGTATTGTACGGATTGATTGGTTGTATTTCAAAACCCTGTGGGCAGTACTATGTTTGTGGATTGTGAATAAAAGAGGCTGTATGTGCCAGTACAGGCAGTTCTACTTGACCTCAAACGAAGTGTCATCTCGTTATTGGGGGAATTGTATTGTATGCTGATTGCCAGGAGTGTAAGCTGATTGTATGCTTTTCCTGTTCAGCTGCTTACAGCA